AAAAAAAAAAAGGACCACATGAAGGGTCTTTAAGGTAATTGACCTGTTAAGTATTTTGATTGCAGCAGTGAATATACAAACTTGTTCATGTAATAAACCATATAGAACTACACACACACACATGCACACATAAACAAGTACAAGTGAAAAGGTGGAAGTGTGAGTAAGATCTATGGATTACATTGACTGTGATATTATACCAAAGTTTTGCAGAACGTTACTTTTGCAGGAAACAAGGTGAAAGTATATGGGAATTGCTCTGTATTTTTTCTTATGACTGCATGTGACTCTACATTTGTCTCAATAAAAACTCCATTTAAAAATTTCCCTTTAGCCAGGTGCAGTGGCTCACACCTGTATCCTAGCACTCTGGGAGGCTGAGGTGGGTGGACTGCTTGAGCTCAGGGGTTTGAGACCAGCCTAAGCAAAAGCAAGACCTGGTATCTACTAAAAAGGAAAAAAAAAAAAAAAAAAAAAGAACTGAGGCAAGAGGATCACTTGACCAAAGAGTTGGAGGTTGCCATGAGCTATGATGTCAGAGCACTCTACTCAGAGCAACAGCTTAAGACTCTGTCTCTAAAAAAAAAATTATCTTTTGATTAAACAAAAAACAGTCTCCCCTGATGCAGGTGTATTATCACTCCTAATAGCTGCTTTACCCTTTTTAGCAAGGAAAAGCAGGCTAGGTGCAGGGTCTCACACCTATAATCCCAGAACTTTGGGAGGAAGGGGGTGGGAAGATTTTGTGAGGATAGGAGTTCAAAGACCAGCCTTGGCAATGGACAGGAGAATCCAGTTAGAATTTATAAGACACTTTTAGATGATGGGGTTTAGCTCTTTTATTTTACAGATGATATAAGGCAGAATTAAAACACAGATCTGAAGCTAGCCAGTCAAGGGTTCTAATCCCATCTCAGACATTTACTAGCTGAGTGCTCTTGGGCCAATCACCTAACATTTCTGTACATCAGTCTCCTCATCTGAAAAATGGATATGACAAGAGCGCCTACATCATGGTGCTGCTGTAAGTTTTACAGCAATAATCACCTCTGTGTGATGTTTAGGTGTCTGACAAAGTATCAGCTATCATCTTTTACCACAAGGACTGAGGAAAATTCACAACGTTTCAGAAAGTTTTAGAAGCACAGTTTTAGATCCAGGCCATATCACCTCTCAGAATGTGCTCCTCTGCCCTTCCTTGCCCTGAGTGTCCAGGCCAGGGCTGGGCACCAGGAGACAGGCCACACCCACCTGCGCACTTGGTGCGGCTGATGAGAGGTGGCCCCGGGCGTCCAGTACCGCCATCTCCCGGGCGGGTGAGCAGCACGCTGATCTCATACTCGGTGTCCGGGTCGAGGTGCCACAGCTTGTAGGTCTGCAGGCTGACAGCATGCACCTCTGCCCACGGGCCACGCGACATGCGGTACTCAATCTCTTTGCGCACGATGGGCCCGTCGCCGATGATGGAGTTGGTGTTGAGCTGAATGATGAGGTAGGTGGGGCCGGCCCGCAGCAGCTGTGGGGGCGCGATGGGCGTGGGGGGCTCTGCAAGGAGATTGGGGAGAGGCAGAGCTGACAGATGCTGCTGTGAGACCCTAGCCCCCAACTGTGTCCCACCACATCTACCTATGCCCAAATGGCCAAGAGTCTTCCCTGTCCTCCCAGACCCCTCCTCCTGCTAACAAGCTCTCCACCTGACCAGACCCACTCTCCCACCTCCACAAAATCTCTAGGCCCTAAGGTATACCAGGCTCCTAAAGCTGAACCCACCCTCACCCCTCAAGCCCCACCCTCTCTCTCAGGCCCCTCCAAAACCCCCAAGACTTCACCTCCTGGAGCTGTCCACATGCCAATCGGAGTGAACGCAGGGGCCACAGGCCAGTCCCTGCCTTGCCAGGCTCTCACCTTGAGTACTCAAAGCCTACTGCTGACCCTACCCTCTCTACAGGCCCCGCCCATTTGCTCAGACTCCTCCAGGGTGAGACACTGCCCCCTCCACAGGCCCACTCTGGTCAGACCCCACCCCCTCACACCCTGCAGCCCCTTGGCCCTGGGAAGGTACGGACGTCCTTGCGCTGACCCTTGACAATGAGTTCAGCAAAGTTGGAGACACCCGCACCGCGCGGGGCCTGAGATACACAGCGGTACAGGTCCTGCTCCGGGCGGCCCACGGCAACCAACGGGAAAGTGGCCAGGAAGCGCCTGTGGCTGATGTGCCGGACGCTGACTGCAGGCACCAGAGCCCCGCTCTGTCGCTACGAGTAAAAAGAGGTGACAAGATAAGGGTTGTCACGTGGAGGAAGGAATCCTGATCTCGCTCTAAACAGGGCCAAGGGTAGGGGGAATTGTCCTGGCTATGTTTAGCTGACCCTATTATACTGGGGGGATATTGGATCCCTGGAGCCATGTGCTCTGGGGTGATGGGGAATCAAAGGGGGCAGACTCGGCACCCCACAAGGGAGCCAGGACCCAGAAGAAGCTATCCACCCCTCCTTGGCCAGGACCCCAACCTGCAGAAGGAAGCGCTCTGCCTCCGCCGCTCTGCCTGCCGCCATGCACTGGAATGAGGCATTCTGACCAGCGTTGACCTCCACATCACCCAGGCGGGAGAAGTGCGGGGCCTTTGCTGCAGGAATAGAGCCGCAGAGTGACCTGGGCCAGTGCCCCTGCAGACAGGAGCCCCCGCCCAGCACCCCTCAAACCTGAGCCCCTTGTGGGCTGGGACTCACCGCAGGGGTAGCTGAGAAGCAGGATGTCATCTAGGCCCATGTAGCCCCTGCGGTCTGGGGAGATGAGGGCCTCAAACAGCACCTATTGGAGGTGGAAGGGCCCCTGTCATACTGATATTCATGTAGCCCTGCCTATGACAGGCCCATAAAAGACCATTCTAATTCTGTCTCAGCCCCAAATCCATCCTCACCAACCAGCAGAGCTCAGCCCAGCACACAGTCATCCTCCCTACTAAGCTAGCTCTTCGAGGGTGGGGTGTCAGCATCCAGAGTAAACAAGGTCAGGGTGGGAGCATCCGTCCCAATCCTGAATAATTACTTCAAGTAGCAAAACTCTTTTCCCACCTAGGCAGTATTTCCAGGGCAAAACTATTCCAACTAACCCTTGACCCCAGCCATGGGCTATTCCTATTTAATAATGACTTCTGATACTGACCTCAAATGGCCCCAGACTGACCCCAGTAGATTGCCTCCTGATGCTGAGCACAGACTAATTCTAACTTCTGCCACTAATCTACTCTGACCTTGAACCAACATTCTCCGGCCCCACCCCCAGGCACAAGCTGACCACAGATTGAACCCAGCCAACCTGATATTCATTGGGCCAGAAGGTGCTGACAGCCAGCTCAGCTTGGTGCCACTGACGGCCATGAGATCCAGTCATATTCCAGACGGCACTGCCCAAGGGGCCCCCATTAACACGCACATAGACACCCAAAGTGCCCGGGCTGTGCCCATCCCTGCTGTACAGAAAGTAGCTGAACTGCACACAGTGGGTGTCATTCTCGCTTAGGCTCTGGAAGATGACATGGGCGCGCTGGCCTGGGGCATGCTGGGAAGTATTGACCATCAGGTACGAGCCTGGAAAGAGAGGAGGAAGAGGTAGGCGCTGAGGAGCCCTAGGTAAGGAGCAGGGTCAGGTGGGCAGGAGAGGGGCAGAAATAAAGGATTCCAGGCATTCCGACCCCCTGGGAGTCAGAGTTCTGAGTTCCTCTCCCAGCTCTAACTCACTGGGTAAGCCCCTTCACTTCCCAGCATCTGTTTCCCAAAGAAGAGAGAACAGCAAAACCACACAAACCTGACTTTGTCAAAACCCTTGATGGCTCCTCAACCACACCCTGCCTGAGCACAGCTTCTCCCATCCTCTGAGCCATCCTTGGAGGCAGAGACTAGGTCATTCATCTCCAGAGTCAAGAGTCTAACACATGACAAGCTCTCAAAGGCCACTTCTTCCAAATTCTTCTCTCTACATCCCACTATAGAATTGTTCTCCCTGGCCTCGGAATTGTTACCAAAGTGTGCTCTGTCTCCCAGCTGCCTGTGATGCCTCAGGGCTCCACTGTGTCCTGGCAGGGGCTCTGAACCCAAGCTGAATGAACACGTAGATCAGAGATTGAACAAACTACTCTTCCAGTCCTCAGCTCTGAGTCTAAATTCCTGGGATACAAATTCTCTTGATTTCTAATCTGGAGACAAACAGCCTGCCTCCTCCCCAGAGATCCAGGCTATGTACCAGGGGGAGCAGGGGTAGACTGGATGCCTCAGGTCCCGCTGGGGGATCACAGCCTCTCTTCTGGAGTGGGGGGAGGCCCCAGCAGCTGCCAAAGGGACAATAGCAGCCACCCAACACTGCCTCCTCCCCGGCTTGGCTGCCAGCCAACACAAGCTCATTCAGAGTCCCAGGAGGGCTCCCCAGGAACTCTGCTGGAGGGAATCTCATTCATCTCTGTGAGTCAGAAGCCTTCCAGGCACCCTGGGTCAGTCCTGGCAGGGTAGTAGTAAACAAAACTCAGGTCCCTGTCCCCACACAGGAAGGGGTACATCCTAACCCCCAACATACCCCCTTTTGGCCCACTCCTGCTTCCTCTCTCCTCTCCCTGTGAGCAGCTGTACCAGTCTTCCTCCCCCTTCCAATTTGACACTTTGTTCTTGCCTCCTCCTGCCGCTCTCTCTGCCTCTCTCCTCTCTCACTGCGTCCCTGCCTTCTCTTCCATTTCCTCCCTTTGTCCCTGCTTTTCTCCCTCTCCTCTCTCCTACTATCCATGTGAATGTGAATCTCCCTCCTTCCTTCTCCCTCCATCCCCAACTCCCTTCCCTAGAATGTGAGCACCAGAGTCTGTCCATTTGGGGATGTCTCACACCACATCCCCAGGATCCAGCACAAGACCCATGCTAATTACTACATCTCCCTCTCCCCTTTCTCACTGAGGATGTCTCTGCTTGTGTGTGAGAGGAAGAGGCAAAGCCCACACAGGGGGGGCGTCGGGACTGTAAGAGGTGACTTCATTCAGCTCTCTTGTGCCTGAGTACCAGGCCAAGGCTGGGCCCTGGGCATACGGGGAGGCCTACACAGGCCCCTGCCACAGTGGGGCCCTTTACAAATCCTTCTCAGAAAAGTCAAAGGGTGATACCCACCAGAACTGAATCTAACGAGGATCTGGGAGGCCTGCAAAGGCAGAGACAAACGCCCCAAGAAGGGCATATGTGAGTAAATGCACAGAAGAGGAAGCAGGAAGGGCGAGGGCATCTGTGGAGGCCAAGAAGGCCACCTGTACCACCTCCTAAGGTGAAAGAGGCCTTTTTAGGCCTCTCTCCTACTGGCTTGAGGTCCTGGCCCCCCACTGATAACCTTTGCTGTCTCTCACCCTCACACTTGACAGCAATGCAATCTCAACTAAGCTGGCCTGGGCAAAGGGGAGGGGGTCTTTAGGCCATCCGATTCTGAAAGCCTACTTGGTGCTCAGACTAGCTCCGTCCTCCGACATAGTCCTTATCAGTAATAAAGTTGATAATTTGGACTTTATCTGCCTTATCTTCTTCTTAATTCCCAGCTGATCCTGTACCTAGCAAAGAGGAGTACTAATAACTGGACCCTCTCAAATACCTCCAACAACAGCACAATGAGACAGTGTCCATGATCCCCTCCATGCCACCCTCTGCACTTTATAGGTACCGTTTAATAATCCTGTGAAATGGATTACTATTCTCCCCACTTTAAAGTTAAATGTGAACTAAAATTAAATCTTAAGCCCCCTAACCAAATGAATGGACCCCCTCTTGGCCAAGAAGACTCTAAATACCCTAAAATCTATTTCTGGCCATGAGAAGGGAGGTCAGACATGCTTTGACATGCCCTTCTCCCTACTTGAAGAGTTATCCTTTGTAACTCATTAATAGGCCTGAGGCAATACAAGGCAAAGTTTAAATCATTTGAGTCTGGGTATCTGTTCTGTTTATTTCCAGTGACTTGTCTCTGATTAACAGACTTCCTTATCTTAACTTAAAACATTTCAATCCTTTAGACAAAGCTTCATTTCTTTAACCAATCACAAATCAAAGAATTTTTAAACCCACCTGTAACCCGTAATACCCTGTTTCAAGATGTCCTGCCTTTTTAGGCCAAACCAATACACCTTCCATGTGTTGATTAATGACTTTATGTGTAATTCTTATCTCTCTGAAAAGTATAAAACCAAACTGTAACCCAACCACCATGAGAGCACTTGCTCAAGGCTTCTTGGGTGTGGCTCTTCAGGCCATAGTTGCACATATTTGACTCAGAATAAACCTCTTTAAATTATTTTACAAAGTTTAGGTTCTTTTCTGTTGACATAAAATAATGGGGACTCAGAAAAGTTAAGTGATTTGCCCAAGGTCCCACAGCTGGTAAAGGGACAGAGCCAGGATCTGAGCGCAGGACTGCACACATGTTCTAGCCGCTATCATTAGAGCAAGAGGCCAATCCCAGAATTTATGTAATTGGTCTCCTGACTCCCAGTGCAGTGCTTAGGATGCCAAAAGTCCCCCATCCTGAAATAGGGCAGAGCAAGGTTGAAGTTGAGAAGGACCTGGGACTTCCAGGAAGAAGGGCAGAGCAAGGAAGATTTTACACACACCTAGCCCCAATGTTACTGCCCTTTCAGCATCTTCAGGGCCTAGGGAAGCTAGGACTCAAAGACCGTACAGAAGAGAGCCCATGAGGAAAGGCTTCCAATAGTAGAGGATTAAGGACAACCTGGGAGGAGAGGGGTGGGTGCTGAGCTAAGCCATAAGGGGAGTAATGGATTCACAGCTGTAAGGGCTTTGATTACTTTAACCTGCACCCATTTTTCAAGTGAAACTACCTAACATGCACAATGAGACAGTGTCCAGAGTGCCCCACATCCAGTGTTATGTATGTCATTACAGATGCAAACGCAGATGAGGCCCAGAGAGGTTAAGTAATGTGCCCAAGGTCATGGAACAAGTGGGTAGAGGTGCTCCTAACAGCGGTTCTCAACCTATGGGTTGCGACCCCTCTGTAACAATGAAAATACATCACGGCATTAGGAAGGTTGAGAACCACTGCCCTAGAAGGAGATAAAGGGGGACTGGTGACAAAGAGGAGGCTTACCGTGGGGCAGGTCCGCAGGGGCCCGAGTGCCAGGGTGGATTCTCACTTGCTCCCACTGGAAGTCATCATATTGGGCCTGGCTGTACTCACAGGGCACTGCTGGGTCACTTGTCTCCTCGAAGGTGCAGCCAGCTGTGAGGACATGGCTGAGTTAGACCAAGCTAAGGCAGGGCTGCTACCCAGGACAGCTCTTGGAAGGCAGCACACTCTTCCCTCCTTTATGCCTCCATCCCCCTCTCTTCCTTCAGGCCTTTCCCTACTCTCCCTCCTTCTAACAAAACTCTCCCTCCTTGACCCTCCCTCTCCCAAGGACCTCCCTCACTATCCCCTCTCAAGACCAAGACATCTCCACACTGCCCACTCCCCCAGTACTTCCCAGGACCCCTTACTGCTCAACTACTCATCAAAGACCCTCCTCCATTAAAACTAGTTATGATTGCTACATCACTGGACTCTCACAAAAACCTGCACAATTAGGACTAGCATTATCCCCATTTTATAGATGGGTAAACTAAGGCCCAAAGAGGCTGAGTGACTTCCTTAAGGTCACATGGCTCACGAGTGTCAGAGGTAGGGTTTGAACAAAGATGTCCTGACTATTACTCAATGTTCTGCTACCTGCCCTCCATCTTCACACAGAGGACAGACAGAGGGGCCTGGGAATAGCAGGATCATGAATGCCTTAAGCCATCCTGATAGTTCTCCCCTTAAAAATAATGACAATTGCCACCAATCATCTCACGCTTACAAGAAGCCTGGCACAACGCTAAATGGTGTTAAGTGCTGAGTCTCATTTAGGCCTCACGTTCTGATCCTGGCCACTATTGTTCCTATGTGACAAATGTCAACAAGATTCAGTTGTTTCCCAATGTCAGCCAACTTAGGTCTCTGCCTACAGGAATGTGTAGACTAGACACACAGATGACTAGAGAAAGCAAATTCCCATGATTTGTAACAAATATTAAAAGCTTACATGAGAAAGGGAGGGAAGAAGTGAGGAGTGAAACAGATGTGAGTCGTGTAATAAGGTCCATATATCTTAGCTAGCTCATCAGAGCCCTGAGTTGGGCACCCTAATAAACCTGAGAGCTGGCTTGGCGCCCATGGCACAATGGTTACGGAGCCAGCCACATACACCAAAGGTGGTGGATTCAAACCTGTCCCGGGCCACCTAAACAACAATGACAACTGCAACAAAAAATATCTGAGCATTGTGGTAGGTGCCTATAGTCCCAACTACTTGGGAGACTGAAGAAAGAGAATCGCTTAAGCCCAAGAGTTTAAGGTTGCTGTGAGCTGCGATGCCATGGCACTCTACCAAGGGTGACGTAGTGAGACTCTGTCTCAAAAAAAAAAACAAAAAAACAAAAAAACCTGAGAACTCCATTGGTTCAGAAAGGAACTGCAAACAGGACCCCTGCACTCACTCCCAAATCTTAGTGTCTGGAGTACCACCAGAGTAATCACAGGCATCTGAGATCTGGGAAAATGCCAGAGCAAACGCCAAGGAAGCAAATGCTAATGGTGCCAGGCCCTGTTCTGGGTGCCTTCCAGACACTGGGACTTCTCCCCATTTCACAGATGAGGTGCCTGAGACCTGAAGGGTGAAGTCCACATGGTAGAGCAGTGAGTGAGTGGGCTTTGACATCAGACAGAATTGTGATCGGTTCTGGACTCTGCAATTCGCCAATCCTTGTAACTGTGAGCAGGTCCCTTATCTGAGCCTCAGTTTCCCCATCCACACATGAATTGTTGAGGAGTCAATGCAGTGGTCTACTGAGTACAATGCCTCAAACATGTAAGCATTCAGGAAACAGCAGCTCTTAATAGGTGCCACTTGAGAAAAAAGGCAGGATTTGTATCCAACTCAGTCAATATCAAAGTTCATGCTTTCCACCAGAAAAGGTTTCAACAACAGAAGGAGCCAATTTGAGCTGCTTCCCCATCTCCAGAAGAACAGGGAGGGGGACTAGAGGGTAACTGGGGAGTAGTACCATGTGCCAGGCACAGTGCTAGGCATTTCCATGTGCAGCAAGTAACTTGGCTTCTAGGAGCCTGTGTATTATTTCATCTGTTGTTGCACAGATCATGAGAAGTAGCACAAGGAAACAGCCAGGAGAGCCAGGCACAAAGGGCTCGCCATTGCTAAGGTCTCCCTCTCTTCTCCTCTTCTTGGACCCCATCAGAATGTGAAACAATGAGATGTGGGTGTGAGGCTGGTACCAAGCAGATAGAATGAAGTAACAGAAGACTCTTTCCAGAGCTGGGGCAGGGGGCCTTGGCTGAGCTCTTTGCCTCTTTGTTTGAAAAGCCCTGGTCAGCACCATGCCCTATAGCCTGTGGGAGGCGAGTTTTAACCTCATCTGTGCTGGAAGGGCCTCAGCTCTCTAGAAAAAGACCCACAGGGCAGCAAAGAGAGGGGGCATGGCCAGTAGGAATAGTCATGCAGGATTTCCTGGAGGAAGGGGATTTTAGCCTGAGCTGGGTCTTAGCCAAGGCCTCCCTGAGGTACAGGGTTTGCCAGAAGGGAAGCTCGGGAGCTAAGCCCTAACTGGGGCTCAGGCTCTTCCTGTTCCTTTACAAGGTACAAGGCAGCTGCCCCTGATGTGTCACCTGTGGCCCTGGGGTGAGCCTGGGAGTGCCAGTGCCTTGGCTTCTTCTTGTCCATCCTGAGCCAGGCAACATGACCTTCCAGGACTCCCAGATCAACTGACCTGTTTAGAGTGACCCCTAGGTCACCTGACCTCAACCAGAGTAGCCCCCAGACTGACTGACCCAACTTATTGGACCCCGAACAGAATGACTTCAGCCAGATTGGCTCCCAACTGATTGTCCCTGGCCAAAGTATCCCCAGTCTTATATAGATGGCCCCTAGACTATCTGTCTTTAGCCAGAATGACCACCAGATTGACTGATCGACCCTAGGCCATTGACCTACAGCTAACCAGCCAGGGAGAACCCTTAACCAGAAATATTCCCTGTCCCTGATCCATGTCCATCTGTAGACCTGTATTTCTGGGTTAGGCCAGTTCTAGCCACAGACCATAATGGGTAACATCCCTAGGGCCAGGCTCCCTGAGGACAGCCTCACCCCCTCCATCCCCAGGTCACCGGGGATGGGAACAGCCAGCTCTTCCCAGTACTAGGAAAAGCCCCCATCACCTCCAGCTTGGGCTGCTCAGAAGCCAGGAGCCCCAGAGCCAACAGTCCCATTTTCTGCTAGAAACCCAATGCTTGGGGAGGCTGCTAGCCCAAAAGAAAAAAAAACTAAATCAGACTTCAAGTTCAGAATGGTAGCAGGGAATCTCCCTGCACTCATCAACACAGACACGGGCACGGACATGTAGGTACACACATCAAAACCACGCGAGGGGGCCACCAACTACCACCATGACCACTTGCTCCAGCAAATCCTCATGGCAACTCAGAAAATAGGTACTAATATTATTCCTGTTTTACAGATGGAATCAGGCTCACAGAGATAGGCTTGCTTACCCAAGGCCACACAGCTACAATTTGCAGAAGCTCGAACTTAAACCACCTATCTTTCTTTATTCCAGGAGACTAACCATGGACAAAATAAGGCCCTGTTAGTCTTTTGGCCACGTGTGTTAATTCAGCTTTGTTCACGGGACATTTGTTCACTGACAGGATAAAGCAGGTCTCAGGCAGGCACTATTGGAGGCACAAGGTTGATGAAGACCCCACGGATCTCTTGGTCTGAGTGAGGGTGAGGGAATGAGAAAGAGCAGAAAAGGTTCAAGGCCATAGGAAGGGCTGAGTAAAGCCTGGAAAGACAGGTACCCGGGAGCCACCTGTGGCTCAGTGAGTAGGGAGCTGGCCCCATATACCGAGGGTGGCGGGTTCAAACCCAGCACCCGGCCAAACTGCAACAAAAAAATAGCCGGGCGTTGTGGCGGGCGCCTGTAGTCCCAGCTACTTGGGAGGCTGAGGCAGAAGAATCATCTAAGCCCAGGAGTTGGAGGTTGCTATGAGCTGTGACTCCACTGCACTCTACCGAGGGTGAAAAAGTGAGACTCTGTCTCTACAAAAAAATAAATAAATAAAAAAGACAGGTACCCTTCTGGCCAGTAGAGATGAGTGGAAGGGCACTTGAGGCAAAGGGCCCAGCAGAGCAAAGGGAGGCAGTGACTAAACACAGTTTGTCAGAGCAGAGAGGAGCCCAGACTGGCCCAAGCCATGGCAGAGGAGACTAGAGGGAGGGGGGGAGGTTGAGGCCAGATCATGGAAAGCCTTAAATGACCCAGTGAGTTCAGCCTTATTTTGAATGGGGAAGCCACAGTAGGTGTTTGAGCTGGAAAGTGTCTGATTCAGATGAGATGAGTGACACATGCTGCCATGAGTAGGGCAAGTAGCTTCTCCAGAGAGCACAACAAGGTCAGGAGGGAGCTTGGGATCCAGCCACCACAAGGTCCAGAGTCCGATGTCAGCAACTGGAGAGGAAAGGGGCCTGAGTCCCCATCCTAGACACAAAGAGTGCACACCCCAGTCACACTCAGATGCAACACACACACAAAGAGCTCCACATTCAAATGTTCACACACACATACCTCCTTTCCCCTGCTTAGTCCAAGCCTTAGGGACAAATCTCAGGCTGGGAACAGGGAGACGACCAGGCCTCTCCTTGGGCACCCCACCTCCAGGGAGGCCTCTCTGAGAGGATGGGCTGAATCAACCCCAGGACCCCCATGAGTTCCCCCAGCCTCAGCTCAAACTGGCCCAGCTACATTCCTCAGCTAATCTCCCCAATCTGGCAGGCGGTTGCCTAAGCAACCGTCAGCCACAATTTGGGAAGGCAGGGGAATGGTTTAGCCACATCCGGTTGGGTTCAAGATGGGGTGATGTGAGGGGCAGAGCAGCCTCTGGAGGAATGGGGGGGCATCTCCATGGTGTGAGGGTCTACACACCTCCATATGCATGTTTCCACAGGCAGCCGTGTGTGTGTGCACATGCACACGCATGTTCCATGGCTGTGAGAGTGACAGAATAGCCTGGTGCAGAGTTTCAAGTACTCAGCTGGGAAGCCGGGAGCTGCATCACCTTCCTGCTGAGGCTCCCGGTCCCTCTGTGACTCGATTAGGTGACTCACCCTCTCCCAACCCCTGCTTCCT